ATGTACAGAGCTGGCCAGGGCAGAAATCCTCCCTAGGAGCATCCATAGGCAGGAGTGCCCTGTTGTTGCTGCATTCTTCAGCCATATAGAATACAGGAAAATATAATGGCTCTGCCCTCCCGAGTTGGAATCTCTGCGAAGATTCCAGTCCATTGCAGCAGTCAGGCTTTTGAGCATATCAGCAGGATGTCAGCCGGCTTGGGCCACACCATCGTCACCATTTATCCCTAACTTCATCCTAAAAATTCCTTACAAACTGAACTGATGTGGTCACTTCACCCACCACTGGAATGCAACCGCCTCTGGGGTGAATCAGGGCATCTGTTTAAAAGCACACAGCAACATGACCTAGTTGTTTAGGAACAGAATGTGAATAGTATTATCTCTAGCTGAAAGCAGATGGAATTTATTTACCCCAGCTGGAATTTGCCTAGTACACGGAGCTCTTTCATCTCATCTGAATTAGAACCAAGTATCTCTACAAGTTCTGCTCTGTTGAACTTTGCACATAAGGAGAATTAAATCACCCTCTTGAATTCTGTGGCTTGTGTTGTGCAGGAGATCACAATGCTCTCTACCAACTTTCACAGCTCTGAATCTATAGCCTGAAAAGCTAGAGCAGAGAGCTGACACAGTACTGCAGACAGGAATTTAAACTCAGCGTAGCGAGGGCATGCAGTGCCATAACACGTCGCAGACCAGTTACTGAGGAGCAGCGTGCCCAGCTCTTTGCTAGCATTGCACTTTTCTCTACTTCCAGGTAGTGGCAGCTGCTTCTGGAATGATGTGGGAGGATGTGCATCTCAGACTACAATTTATATGCCCCTTAACAATTCCGCACAAGCCAAAGGAGAGAGAAGCACTGGCCACCCTTTCACAAAATACTTACCTCTTACTTCTCAAACTGTCTAGACAGGGAGTGCATTGGAAGGTGCTTGCGGAGGAAATAGGCAGAGTCCCCAGCCACTAACTTGCTTCCTGTTCCCCACAGACAGCACAGAGGTGGAGTGCAGCCCCAGCGCCGAGTCCACTGACCAGCGGAAGCTGATGGAGGAGCTGCAGAGCCGCTACCGCCAGATGGAGGAGCGCATCACCTGCCCGATCTGCATCGACAACCAGATCAAACTGGTCTTCCAGTGCGGACATGGCTCCTGCCTTGAGTGCAGCGAGGCCCTGACTGTCTGCCCCATCTGCAGGCAGGCTATCCGGGACAGGATTCAGATCTTCGTCTGAGGATCTGCGCCCTCCCCTCCCGCTCCTACCTTCCTTCTCCCTTTGTGCATCCATTTAGTTGAGAATCATGACCCATCCACTGTGTTTGTCTGACTGTGAAGCCATCCTGAAAGGGGGAACGTAAATCACAAGAGTCAGTCGTGGGGGAAACGCTCTCCCCATAATGAGAGCGAGCCACCAAGCTTGTGGGGAACCAGCCCTCCCGCCCTGTGCTCCTCTCCCAGCATGGATGGCGCCAGGCGGAATGCTGACCGGATGCCACCGTGCTTTATGCTGACGACTGGAGGGGCTACGAAATCAGCGCCTGGAAAGAGTGCTTTCATGTGCAGACATTTCAAAGGCTGTCCCGCTCTTGTCTAGTTCTCTGCAGCGTCTGATTTGCAGCCTTACGCAGCTCTGGCAGGACAGGCTGCGGCCCAGTCCTTCTCATTCCCCGGCAGGCTGTGGCAAAGCAATACTTTCGCACTTCACACAAGGCGCTATCCAGTGGGATCAGGCACTGCCCCGGCTCTCCCGCAGGGTTGTCAGTTGTGGGGGACGCTAGTTAGACAATGTGTTCTCAGAACCAAGCCTTTGGGGCATGACAAGGTACTTGGATTTGGGCAGGCGGGAGGAGTCTGGAACTGACATGTTCCCAGAGAGAGAGAGAGCGTGTGCCTTAGAGATAAAGTAGTGAACATTTACTGAAGAAATCATTGTTGCAGCACGTATTTTTGACCTCTAAGTGACATTCTTCTGCCAGCAATCTACCTTTTTTTTGCGGCCATAATTCCAGAGACTCTTGAGCTTTTTACCCATAATGCCAAAGGCAGGTGTCAAATATTCCAACCAAAATGTAAAAATATAAAATAAAATACGACTAAGGCAGAGGAGAGGAAATTTGTTTTTCTCTTTCTGTTTGGCAGAAAAATTTATTAAAATAGGACCCTTATATTCCATAGAACATTAATAGGATTGTGTGAACAATAGTGTAAATCCTGGGGTCAGCTCGATTCCAACTGCATCATGTTTTCCAACCAGTTGATTTGGGAAGAAGCACCATCCTGTGAACTCTCACCCGTACCTGTGACAAGGTTCTCAGGGTGTCTCCCTGAGGAGCTCCCCTGTGTGTGTTGTATGTAGCTTTGTTCTATGCAGTTATGCTGCAGACCAGTATAATCTTTTCTTATACCTAGAAAGCAGTGCATAAAATCAACTGGAACACAGCGTTTCTTTCTTAAATTCGTTCATTACCAAAGGGGTGGCAAAGGATTCAAATTAGTTTTGAATCCTTGTGCGTGTGTAGTGGTTACAGGAATACATATTGCCTAGTAGTAACGCCATAGTGTTCCAGGAAATTCTTATGTCACAGTCCCCACTTGGTACGGATAATATCTCAGAATGCTTTCTCAGTCGAGTTTATTACAATGTCTGTGCTCTTTCCCAGGCAAAGGTACAATCTTGGGTCACATTTAACCCCCAAATGTAGATTATTTGTAAAAATAAGCTTTGACAAAACTAAGACATAGGTTTCAAGAACTATATTTTATTCCCAAGAAAACAGATTTTCTAATAAACAAACACTCCCCTCTTTGTGTTTGCTGCGTCGTTCTAAGTGAAAACGACTATGAATGTCCATCTTCTATTACCCTTTCTCATAGGAAGTGGTACCAGAGACTACCAGTGCCTGCCGATGATGAGAGGTACAGCCGGTTTCAGCAGTGTAACTGAGCATGCTCAGTGCAAGCCAAGCAGAAAATCTGGGCGGGGCCCGTGGTCCCCATGTCCCCCACCCCACCCCCATGCGTTGCCTCTGAGTGGTACTTGATGCCTCAAGTAATCCCATTCAGTGCAATGGGGCTGTTTATGAAGTAAGTTGCTACTCACCGTAAGAGTGATAGAATATGGCCAAATGGGACTCCTCTGTAAAGAAAAGTGACATTGACGAGCCTTGTTTTTATTGTCCAAGCTTGGACAAATGCCGAAAGCAAATAATCCACATGTAACAGCATGAAGTACATTTACAGTTGGATTTTCATAAGGACTTCCTGTTGGCCTGACTCTGCTCCCACTGAATGCAGTGGGAGTTCTGCTGTGGAGTTCAGTGGGAATGGTTAGCCCAGTGCTAAGATCATCTGAAAACTCCACCATGGACTTTCCAAAATTCTTTAATAATCTAAGGTGTGATTAAGATGGGTCAGAACATTTTTCATTTAAAAATAATAATAATAATAATAATAATAATCTGATTTCTTTGAACCTGACGCTGTCCCTATCAGGGCCTGATCCAAAGCCAATTAAAGCCAAGAGGAATTTTTCCATTAATTTTAGTGGATTTTGAATCAGGCCCTAAATCAGAATGCTGGTCCCAAATCAGTCTGAAGAGTTAGGGGAAAAATAACATCAAGAGTGCTAGGCATCTCCTTTGTAATTAAAATAAGCTTTACAGTCCTCAAAGTACAATACTGTCAGAGTCTATCCAATCAGTGACCGCTGCTCTTACTGCTCTCTGCTGTAAATTAATGATTTTACAGGCTGTACTTAAATCCAATATGGTACTAAGCATTAAAAGGACATTTTCAAAAGTATGCCTCTGCTGCAGCAACCACCAATGCATTTGACAAAAGGAAAAACAAACCAATGCACTCTCCTGTATGTCAGACGTCTGTTTGTGCTGCTTGGGGGACTGCATATCGTGCAGCTTCTGTCACACTCATCTTGAAGACTCTGATGCTGGACTTTGTCAGCGTACACAGAAAAGGATGCATCGGATCTCTGACTTCTTGGCTTTTTTAAAAAAAAGTTCTTTGTGCCCGAGGTGAAGGTATCTTGGATCACTGCTGGGCCTGTGAAAATAGGGAGCTGTCTGTAGTGAGAATACAGAGTCTTCAACCTTCAAGGTGCATAGCTGCTGCAGAGAAAATGTCTTTCCATTTTGCAGCAAATAAAATTTTTTTTCCTGTTTTCCCTCTTTTAATTTTTTATTTGTTTCTCCAACTTTAATGGTTTCTCAATGAAAATTTCCTTCCAGGCTCTTCAGATCTTGTGCATAGATCAAGACCCTTTGTGTTGCCAGAGTGGAGGTGGAATTTGGTATGGTCTGTGCTTTAGAGCTATGGGTATCTTTTTATAGGTGGATTCCAGGGAGCAATAAAATTAATTTCCTGCCATTGGTTTAGTCTTCAATAAGAAATCTGAGCAGAGATTTTTACCATTTTCCAGTCTCTTATATTTGGTAGGCTTATACTGAAAGTTTGAACCAGACTGCAGTCAGTACAATTTTCACTCATTCCCCTCTTTCGGCGGTGCTTTAAGGTAGGAAGATCTTCTAAGTGGCTTTTCAGAGGGGTTTGAGGAAATCAGTTTATCCAGCCTTTCCTGCCATTTAGGAAAAATAATCAAGTTATTCACAGTTTGCCAGAAATCAAGATTGTTTTTCCATTAGGAAGACCTAAGACTGATTATCAAAGGCCAGGGTTTGACTTGGAAAAGGCAGATTCCCTAAGCGACGTTTGATGGCAGAGGAAGGATTCAGATAGACAAGAGGGTTTGGACCTAGCAATCTAAGCACAGGACTGAAACCAAAGAATCCTTGGGTCTTCTATTCCTAACTCTGATGATGATTCTTTCCAGGACCTTTGGCAAGTCCCTTAACCTCTCTGCCTCCATTTCTCCATCTCTAAAATGCATGATTGGGTTGTGAGAATTGATTAAGGTTTATAAAGCACTCCAGAAGATTGGAAGCGCTACATAAAAGGTATGTGTTCTCAATTCCTGACTACCTGATAGAACCTCTGTCCTCCCCCTGCAGCATGAACATCATTGCATTGGCCCATTAATACCAGACCCCCATCGGTTCACCTGGATGGGGTTGGTAGACAATACTTTTCATATTCAGCTCCGCTGGCAAGCAGGGGGTTAATTCCCCAGCGCAAACTTCTGTTTCTGAAATACTGTTCCAGGCTGCGTGTCAAATGCAGGTTTGCTTTCTGGAATTACTGTCCTGGCTTTTTTATCAGCTCTGAGTCTGAGCTGTCCACCCCCAGAATCCATTTCCTGAGCACACGACCCATTTTAAAGGCCATCGTGCATGTCTGTGGAGCTCCTTGCCATAGCTTGGCGGTTGCAGTGGTGAGATGGTTGACGAGCGTGTGCAGAAGTGTATGGAAGAGCCAGGACTCTAGTGCACTGAGGCAGATACCGCCCTGCCTAAAAGAGCATCAAATGGTTTCTGCTGAAGTGGGGATGGCTCCTTCGACCTCTGCACCTTGGCATCGGCCAGCGACATCCGTGGTGGGCTCTGTGTCTGTGGAACAGTGCAGCTGTTGAATCCCTGCCCTGCGGCAATGCAAGTTGTCATTCTGATGAGAAGTAGGGACAGGGGACATTCTGCATGTGAGGCTCCTTCAGAACATGGAGAAGAAGTAACCATTGGAGCTGGAGGATTGAGGCATTTCTGGGAGGAAAGAGACCGAGATGGACTAGGTAAGGGCTATGGTCTCTCTGCCCCCTTGCCAGGGCTGAACTGAGGGCTTCTGAGGCCCCAGGTAGCTAGGGGGGAGAGGGAATCCAGCACTGATTTGCCTCCATTGGTGACCCTGCTGACTCGGGGAGACTTGTTGCTGGGTAGGCTAGGTTACCTGGCTGGCCTGGTCATCCGGCTGCCTGCAAGGCTATTTTCTTGCTAGGGGTCCAAGACAGCCCCAGGACAGAGACAGTGGGGGCTGAATCTCTAATGTATGACAAGAGGACTCCTCCCGCTAGGCAGAGATGGGCCAAGAAGTGATGGTGAGATTGGGCTCGGCATTCAGTTTAGCTAGAGATTACCAGGGGGCAGGTCCAAGGCTGAACCCAAGGGTGGGGTCAGGGGCTCAAGAGCACCCAAATCAATCACCCGAGACTTCTGACAACTTGAGCCATGTCTGAAGAAGTTGTTAAGACAGCCAGACCTTTCCAATTAGGGTGGGACTAGGGTAGGGAATTGGAATTCCACTCCACTCCACTCCACACTCACTCACTCACTCTAAATTCAGTTGGGTTTGATGGGAGGAGCCAGTTTAGGCCCAGAGTGGTATATTCCACTTTGCTGCTGATCATGTAAGTGGTAACAAACCGAGAAGGGTCAATTAAATCGCTTTAGCCAGTGAGCCAGCACCCATTTAAACACAAAAAAACACACAGTGGCCTTTTATTCAGTCAAAGGCTACAGATCCTGATGAACTCTGTGTTAGATACAGTTTATTACCATCTATCTGCCTCAAGACAAGACCTGCAGGCACTCCGATGAACGGGTTAAGGGGTTGCCTGCTTGTTCTCTGAGGCCTCTGCATTTGCCTGTCTTCCCTTGAAATGCTGTTTCGTACCTTCCAGCAATGGCAGCAAAGATTAGATCCCAGACTGGGATCTTTAAGGTATAAGACTTAAAATAAGAGACAGCAGCTGAGACAGATTAATGCTATAGCCTAATGAGATTTATATATAATCCCCTTTAACCAACATTTCAGGTCAGGTTTCCAGTCTCTTCCAGAAAACTAATGTCTTTTGTTGCATTACAGCGGCCCTACTGATTCAAATTTATTCCCACATTTAGAGCTTGGAAAAGCAAGCTCTTACCAAAGCTTAAACCCAGTACCAAAGCTCCCATGGATGTTCTGTCTATATTGGAATTTAAATTATGTTGTAGAAGCCTTTGATCCTGTAGCAATGTTGCAGTGAAATCAACAGTTCTCCTCACATGCGTAGTTACGAATATGCTTGACTTAAGTACTTACATGGCCCCCATCATGGTAGTATCTGAGCATCTCATGATCTTTTCGTCCTCAGTGGGGAAATGCTAGTATCCCCTTTTTAAAGACGAGGAACTAAGGCACAGAGAGACTAAACAACAAGCCCAAGGTCACACAGGGTTTGTGGCAGAACACGGAACTGAACCAAGAGCTCCTGAGTTGCCATCCTTCCTCTTAACCATTGGCAGGATCACCTCCTAAAGGAATCCACGTTTCCCTGCAGTAATTGCCACCCAAATAGGATGGCTCTGAAATCGTGAGCATGAAAATGATTATAAACAAGAATGAAACGGACTTCTTTGATATTTTTTAATTTCATTTGCCCAAGTTGAGATAAACACACGCTGTAGACTAACCGCATGAAGAGGGGAAATAACGGAATTTTTAAAATGGACCATTGTAATGCTCTTAAGGTGTTTTTCTCTACCACAGCTAAAGGAGCATGTTGGCTTACAAAATCCAGGCAAAGATTGTCAGACATGACTAGTGGTTTTGCGTGCCTCGGTTGCCGGATGCTCAGTCTCAGACATCTTTTTCAGACAGTGCAGAGTACTCTGCCTCTGAGAGCTGGGCCCTCTTAAGGTGTCCCAAGTTGGACACCCAAAAATGGCTAGTCACTTGAAAATCTTGGCTGCAATTTATAAGTTGACACTGGTTTCGCATGTTGATTTCTTCCAACTAATCGCTGAATGAGGCGCGGGCCTCCCTTCATTGTCAGTTTGGCTTAGTGGGAGGAAGAGCTGGTCCGTCTTCTCTCCTTGGTTTTTAGGAATCTTTGTTAAGGTTTATGATGGGTAAGGTTGCCAACTGTCTAATCACACAACCCAGACACCCTTGCCCTCCCCCGCTTCTCTGAGGCCCTACCCTCCTCCCTCCGTTGCTCATTCTCCCCCAGCCTCACTCACTTTCACCGGGCTGGGGCTTGGGGTGCAGGAGGGCGTGTGGGGCCCAGGGGCTCAGTGTGTGGGAGGGGGCTACAGGCTGAGCCTGGGGCAGGGGGTGGGGTTCGGGAGGGGATGTGGGGCCCAGGAGTTCAGAGTGTGGGAGGGGGCTCTGGGTTGAGCCTGCAGCAGGGGGTTGTGGTGCAGGAGGGGGTGCAGGGTACAATCTCTGGGAGGGAGTTTGGGTGGGGGGGCTCAGGACTGGGGCAAGGGATTGGGGTGTGGTAGGGGGTGTGGGCTCTGGGAGGGAGTTTGGGTGCAGGAGGGGGCTCTGGGCTGGTGTAGAGGGCTAGAGTGCAGGAGAGGGTGCGGGGTGCAGGCTCCCAGCCTGCCCTGGCCCCACGCTGCTCCAAGCAGCTGGCATGTCCCTGAAGCCCCTGGGTGGGGGGCAGGAGGCTCCATGTGCCGCCCCCACCCGCAAGCACCACCCCTGCAGCTCCCATTGGCCACAGTTCCCGGCCAATGGGAGCCATGGAGTCGGGGCATGGGCAGCGCACAGAGACTCCTGGGACCATCCCAGGGGCCGCAGGGACATGCCAGACACTTCCGGGAGTGGTGTGGGGCCAGGCCGGGTAGGGAGCCTGCCTTAGCTGTTCTGCGCCGCTGGACTTTCAGCACCTAAAATCTCCCAGTTTGGCTTCAGTAGCCTCCAGGAGATAGGGCCTGATTCTGGGAGACTCCTGGGGAAACCTGGGGGGTTGGCAACCCTAGTGATGGAGTGTATCAAAAAAAAGAGTTGAATTAGGCCAGGAGGGCCCAATCAGTCAATTAAGCTGCAAAGGGGGGAGATTTAGGCTGTGTGGAAGGCACTAATTAGAAGAAGGCTCACCTGTGAGGGGACAGGAAGTGTTTCTATAAAGCCAGGAGGCTGGAGACCGTGCGAGGGGCATGGCAGGGAGGAAACCTGCAGTCTCTGTCCCTGAGGAAAGGGAGAAGGAAGGGGAGGTAGGAACCCCTGAGAAAAGGGGATAGGAAGGAACCCATGAGGAAGGGTTTATCTCGTAGGCCTGAGGGAGAAGGGGCTGACTAGGAAGGCTGGGAAAAGAAGCATGGTAGGAAGCAGTCCCCAGGGAAGAGAGCAGTAAGGGTGGTGCAGTCCCAGGCCTTAACTGCTCACAATGGGGCCCTGGACTGGAACCCAGAGTAGACAGTGGGCCTCGGTTCCCCTGCCATCCCCTGCAGAGTGGCATTGCTTGGGGCAGTGAATGGGGCAGCTGCCTGACTCCCTGCTGGAGTGATGTAGTCAGGGCAGTGGGCTGAGGATTGCCCAACTCTGCTGGTGCTGAGAGACTTTGAGAGTCCTACCCGCCTCCACTCCCGCCCAGCCCAAAGGGGAAATCAAGGTGTGGCCTGGCTGGAGGGCCCAAGTCATGAAGCAGCTGTATTGCGACTCCGTGAGCTGGGGGGGAGCTGCAATGGTGGAAGAGAAGAAAGGGGGCGCTGAACCAGGTGGCACTAATCCCTGGAAGCGCCAGAAGGGGGCACCACTGAGCGGTGAGTAGAGTACCCAGTGACAAAACCACAGAAGAGTCCTCAGAACAACCCCTGTCATTGCTCTAGCCCCCGCAACTCTCACTTTGCGGGTAAGTGCCTCAAGAAATCCTGCAGGAGGAAAGTGGCTGAGTTAGTACTTTTTGTGCGTGCTCTTCTATTTTTCCTGGCAAATCCCATTCTCATCCAGCTGGGAGCCTGGTATTTGAATTGGCAACTGATTTTGTTTGCAGTTTTTGTGCAGCTGGTCTTGCACGGAAAGTCATTTCTGCAAACCTGCCTCCATTCTGGGCAGCAAGAGGGGACAATCTCATTCCGATTCCTCCTGCCTCTTCTAAGGCCTTGTAGACTCAGAGGATTTGCCCCCATTTCAGTGTTGCTGCCCCAGGGCAAACACCTAATGCAGACAAGCAATAATGTTAATTTAAAGGCAGTGGAGGTGCTTCGCAGTGGTCATGGTGTTGTCAAAGAGCCTGTAAGAAATTCCAGTTTTATAGAATGGAAAAACTCTCTGCATGGTCAAGAGATTCCTGCCCTGGAAACACCATTAAAACCTGCAGGAGCATGTGTTAAATAGGGTTGGCTTTATTATATTGATACTTGGAATACCTGATCCTTGGGGCTTGTCTAGAGTAGACTAGGAGAACTCACACCAGCGTGACTACAATTACGTCGGTGCGATTCCCTGACATAGACCCCAAGCACCAGTATAAAGCAGGACTGGATGGAATCTCTCTAAACGAGAACAGCCACCTGTGCCTTTGCATTGACCTAGCTCCTGGGCTAACAGCTGGTTCACAAATGTCTGTAAGAGCTCTGTAAATGGCTTTCATTATTTCCAGTGGAGTACAAAGCCTGCTTTATTTCTCAGCCTTTCCCCCTGCCCCGCTCATCAGAAGATGCTGATATCGTGACAGGCAGACATTCTTTAAGCTTTCCTCTGAGAGTGCCCTTCTGGGAATCTCCCCACCACACACAGCCCTCCCTTTTCTCTTAATATGTGAATTTAGTGCTGGTGGGGAGAAAAAGCAGCCCTGGAAACTGGAAGCCTCTCAAGGGCCAGATCCAAAGCTCATTGAAGTTGGTTAATGGGAGGCTTTCCATTGGCCTCATTGTGCTTTGCTCCGACCCTTCGTCCATCAGAGGTACGGTATCCCTGATTGCCAAGCACTTTGTGCCTGCAAAATCAGACCCAGAACACCTGTGTGAATGAAGCAGATACATTTCACTTTTCAGTTGGGGAAAGGGTTGCAAGGTAGTCTCATGC